CTGCCCTGTGAGAGGGCTCCAGCTGGTCCTGCCCTTTCCTAGGCCCTCGTTGGTTGCCATGAGATGCTGTGTGGCCAGCAGGTCTCCACGGTGAAGCAGCTGTCAGGGGCCGTGGTGGGGGTCATTTCCTTAGCCTGGTTCCAGATGTGGTTCCTGGCATTGCAAGCCAGGCAGGGGTACTGCTCCAGGCATCCCGGCCTGCAAGGTCCCGGGACTCTCCCCTTTCTCTGTGTTTTTGGGGGCCTGTTTGTATGGAGGCCTGGTCTCAGCTGCCACTCAATGCCTCGGCTCCTGGGAGGACCTTGATTTCACACCAGCGTGTTCTGACTAAGGTCCTGCTGTATTTGGAGCAGGCCGGGCAGAGCAGGACCCATTTCAGAGGGTGACTATTGCGAGCTGGGTGGGGGCCAGGCAGGTGTCCGGGGATGGGGTGTCTGGACCGGGCTGTGGCTGGGGTAGGCGGGAGCCTTGAGCGTTTTAAGAGCTGGGTTGGCAGGACCTAGGAATGGTTAGGCTGGGAGGAGGCATCAGTGGATCCCCGGCCTCTGCACAACTGGGTTGTCACTGGGGGCAGGGGTAGGGCTGGTGAGAGGTGTTCTGGGGACCTCAGAGGGCGGGAGGTGACATCTGGAAGGGCAGAGGCTCTGCGGGTGGGAGGCCCAGGTGTCATCACTTTGGAGGCCATGACCAGGGTCTACTCAGACATGTGTGAGCCTGAAGAAGGGGTGAGGGGAGCAGTGGAGCAGGTGACCAGAGGTGTTCACCAGGTCAGGGTGGTCCGTGGGTCTCTGTCCCAAGAAGTGGATGGGCAGGGGCCACCGTGGCCTCCACCCCCAGGCCAGCCAGGAATCTTTGGCTACAGAGCGTGTTGCCTGAAAGGCTTTGACTCTCCTGGAGGAGTGGGGCCAGCATCGCCAGCACCAGGGGTCACGGTTCTGAAAACGTTCACAACTTGGATAACAGTCTGTCGTGCTGTTTCCATTGGGATGTCTCCAATTGTTACCCACAGGGAACGGTTTTTCCGTCCGTCTGTGACCTCTGTGTTTCTCTCACTAATTTCATGTTAAGTCTTTTTTCCCCTGTAGTCCTCACCGTTTATTAGCAGTGTGTGTGCAAAGGGCATTAGGGCCTTTGATCCCTTGTCTAAATTGCTAGCGCTCTTCTCAGCTCGTTTTCTGATTTTATTGATATTCTGTGTGGAGGTTGCATGTTTTTCTGTAGTTGGATCATCTGGCTCGGATGTTTTTTCTGCCTGTCCTTTCGTGCTGTGAAGAGTCTGTCGCGTCCTCCTGTATTCTTTCAGTCTGTTCGGTTCTAGAAGAGTGTCACCTTTAACTTTGGGTCTTGGTTTTGGTTTTTGTCTTTCCCCACTGCTGAGACGTTCCCCTGTCACATTTGATTTTGAACCTCCTGGGGTTTATTGAGGTCAGTCTCTCACTCCTGGTGGCTAGTGTTGTCTGTGTTAATCTTGCGTCCTTGAGTGGACTCTTGCAGGGTCAATATGTCTCCGGAGGGCCCAGCACACGCAGCTCGGTGTAACATAGCATAAACCTACGTTTCGTGGTGATTCTTGCCCGGTGATGCTTCCCATTGAACCTGTGTACTACCGTGTTCTTACTGGGGTCCTGTTAGCCTTGGGCTTGGCTGCGTTCCATTGGCATTGCTGTGCTGTGGGGTTGTCCACCAGGGTCTCCTCCTTTTATCGGTCTTTGCGCCCCACTGTGTCTCAGGGCATTTTGAGACCATCTCCTTCCTGGAGCCGGCAACAGCTAGGCCCCTGGCCCTGGAGACCCTTGGGCTGCCATGCTGGGCCAGGGGGCAGGGGACTGGTGGGGGCAGGGTGTGGATGGCGCACTCAGGGCTCCCAGCCTTCTCCTGCTCCTTTGTTTGGATCCCATACCCTGGCCCCAAGTGTAGTGAGTGGGGGGTGGGAGGCTGCAAGTTGTGGCTGTGAGGAAGCCTCTGGGGTTGGGCCTGGGCCTGGGCCTGCACCTGCTCGCGTCCTGTCCGGGGCTCTGGCGCTGATTTGTGGCCGCTCTGCTCCTTAGAGATGTGTCCCACAACCTGCTCCGGGCAGTGGACGCTGGGCTCCTGGCCAACCTCTCCGCACTGACAGAGCTGTGAGTGTCCCCTCTTGGGGGGGGGGGGG